TCTGTGACTTCTTGGAAATAACATCTTAAAACTGTGAATGAGCTCACATATTGCAATCCAGCGGCCAGCTTCAACCACTCGTTCTTCAATTCTCCTTCTAGAGGTTCGTCCCAGCCGATCTTTGCCTTACAACCTTCTTGAAAGAATATCTTGAACTCTGTAATGATGAGCGACAGGAATCCAATTGGATCATAGAACTTTACTGTGACACTTACAACATTTCTCTCAGTAGGTTCAATGTTCCTTGCAGGGGTTACTATCTCCCCCAAATCGAGCACAAAATGGTCACTGACAAAATTCCATCGCGCACTAAGTACCTTTTGTTCTGCACCAGATGTCTCCTTCGTAGTTCCCACCATGCTCTTTGCATAAGTCTTGTCTTCTTCGATTACAGAATCTTCCTTGGAAAGGTCTGAAGGTGACTTCATGTGATCAGTGTTGGCAGATATGGCAGGAGCTGAGATACGTGCTTCATTCTGCTGAATTCGCTCGGTTAGCTGACTTGAATTCGACATAAATTTCCTCAGGTTAAATCCTCCTTCAGCAAGTCTGAGTTTGCACTTGAGGTACAGTTCATATGCTGCATTGTTATCCGCGGTTCCAGAACTCAAGTCATCCACATAGATGGAGCAAAGGAATTGGTCTACAAACTCTGGGTCCTCATTCTTGTATCTTTCAATGTGATGTTTCAAGGTTGCATTGAGTGGAAATGGACTAGAACATACTCCGAAGACAACTCTGGTGAACCTTAGCACCACGATCTCTGGGTTCTTCTTCTCAATGTCATCCACCCACAAAAACCTTAGCACATCTCTGTCTTCCTCTGCAATGCCAACAATAAGGAATGCCTTCTCCACATCACCAGTAAGTGCTATTCTGCCAGCTCGAAATCTCAGGAGAATGTCAAAAATGTTCTCTGCAAGGGGTGGTCTTGTGTACAGATAATCGTTCTGGGCTACACCATTAAATCTAGCTGAGGCGTCATATACGACTCTTAACTTGGTTGTTGCCTTATCTCGTCTTATAACTGCATGATGCGGAAGGTAATGAGTCTTACCAACTTTACCATCAGCTGGCCTCTGAACAACTTCAACTATGCCATTTTTCAGCTGCTCCTTTATTACTTTATTACTCCATCAAGACTTCAGGATCTTGGTTCAGACGTTTGAGTAGGTTACTCAACCGCTTTATGCTCAGTTCGTAGTTATCAGGAAGAATTGGGTGTGGCAGCTTCCATGGCAAATGCACTACGTATCGATCATTCTCAAAGGTTATCCTCTCTTCAAATTCTTCATACACAGATCTTGATCTGACACCCAATGACTCTAGGTCCCAGAACCTCTGCAGGGTTCCATCAAGGCTCTCATTTGTAATGTCCACAGGTTTTGTTGCCGTCTTTAGGACATGCGTTGTCACAAAGTTGTTCTGCTGTTGGTCATTTTGCATTGCTCCATTTGTTGGTCCTGAGAGGACCCACCCAATCCTTGTCTGAATTGCAGTGGGACCGTCCTCCCCCCGTAGCACCTTCCGAGAGACTAATTTCCAATACCAGTCTGATCCAACTAATATGTCTACCATTATATCATCTTCACCTGTGGAGTAGTCAGCAAGTTCGAGTTCCCTTAAGTGTGCATGACTAACACTGGCATGTACAATGGATTGGCTCTGTAGCGAATCGCAGATGAGTGGTACAACAAATGCTGACAGTTGCATCTCATCTCCATGCTCAGTACTGACACACAGGTTAACAACATCCACACTTTGAAGGTTCTCTTCAGTTGATCCAAATGTTTTCACAGAAGTAGTCTGCTTTCTCTAGCTCACTTGGTAATCTTAGCTTGTCTTTTACTTTGGTGGTCACATAGGATCTCTGACTGCCACTGTCTAAAATTAGTCGAGCTAGAAACTTCTCATTAGGTTGACCAGGTCTGTAAGTTGCTGCCTTGGCAGTCTGAAGAAGGATGGGTGTTGATGCATTGACATACAGAACTGTGGGCCTCCCACTAGATTCTCCCGGAGGGCTGCATGATGTTTGGCTCTGAGGTGAGGAAGCTGATCCCTCAACAGTTGGAGTGTGTAGAGACTTGACTTCATTGTTAGTGTCGCTTGTACAAATACTGATGTGGTGTTGACGTCCACATTTGAGGCACTTCATTCTTGAACTGCAATCCTTACTTATGTGATTCCTTTTTAGACAAGCAAACCATCGTCCTGCCCTTTTCAAAATCTCTTTCCTCGCCACAATGCTTGTTACATTCTTACAGGCATTAGATGCATGATCCTTTCGGCAGTATGTGCAGGTTGGCTTGGACCCAGTGGCAAATAACGCTGCGTCTGTTGACAATGGCACTACCTTGTGACATCTGTTGTAAAGGGGTTTGGTTGACGATTGGTCAGTTGGGCTAACATTGTTCCCACTGGCTCGTTCTCTAGCTTACGTTCACTTCTGAAGACATCCAGCATGTGATCGAGATCCCACTCATCCTTCACTTCTCGGGTG